CCTGTGCAGGGGCACAGACTGCTCCCTGACACACCTAGCCAAGGGCTGTGCACACAGGGTCCTCAGTACACACTGTACAAGTTATAGACTGTGTAAATAAGTTCTTGATGGTTTATTAGTTGGAGTATGGATATGTTTTGGTTCCTTATTTATCATGGGTAATTTGTATACCTTCTCCTAGTGTAAAGTGTATCCAACAAGCATTAACCATTAGGCCACCATCACCAGGTCATGCAGTGTAACATTTTTCTACTGTATTGGTTATATGTTACTTTGTAAATAATTAAATCCTGTAAATAGTTTTATAATGGTCTGCAATGTTGTTTGATTGTAAGGGAGGGCTCTCCACTCGGGGACCCTGTAGCAGCTACCCAGGGAGCTGAGTGGGGCCACTGGCTACCAGGTACCCCAGGATCCCACTATTCAGGTGAAGGCAGAGGTAGTGTCATGCCCAGGGTTACACCAGTAAGATGAAACTTTTTAGGTAAGATTTTGAAAACAAAATGGAGTAGTTGGGGTACAGTTTCACTTGAATCACACAGACAGCAACTATGACACTCCTACTTTATGCTGTTGCATGTCCTCTTCCAATAAGCACCAAAAGTGACTTGAGGATAACCAATTTATTTAATTGAATAGGTTAATATACCACTGTAGAATGAATTTATATCAGTATCCTAATAACAATATGTTTTAATCATGATTATAAGAATCCTCTGATTTTCAGAGCTACTTTTCCCAAGCAGTTAAGTCATTCAAAGACTTTTAGTGCTCCCTGCCTTTCTATCAAAGATATTATGGGCCAGACACCTATGAGCTGTAATACCAGAGTTATGTTCCTTGTTTTAAGGGACAATCCAGGTGATCTCATTCAGGTGCCTGTGGATATGTCTACACTATTAGTCAGAAGCACTGCTGAAGACATCTCAAAGTCTAAGTAGGACAATCATCCACGCATTAACCCTCTAATGACATATCTTGCCTGCAATCCTAGTCATACCAGTTAGCACTGCTGACTCTCAGATCTTGAGGCCAATTCAGATTCCTAACACCCTGTCCTCATGGCGAGTGGTCTGACCTACATGTTGTGGGGCATACTATAGAGAAGTCCACCAAACTCATAATTCCTTGATCCATCACCCAGTCCTACTCCTTCAAGTCTATCATTACATTCTGAAATCTGGTTTGGACTCATTAACATCTTCTTTACCGGATAAATTCTCATGTTCTGCAAGTAGTACCACCAAGTCTGAAGAGAAGACTCCAAGAAAAAAAAAAAGATATTATGGCCTTATCTGGGTAGAGTAACACAGCACACCCTAACAACACTGTCAGAGGATGCCGAATTGCATGATTTCATAGAGACCTATAAAATGGGTAGATTTATGTTGATATATCAAGGTATTGCATAGATCTGGGAATCCACAGGATTAGAGATCAGAAGAAGAGGCACCATTCAGGAAGGGCCAAAGAGCCACAGAACTAGATAATATCCAGAAGTCCCTTCCAACCCAACTTTTTTATGATTCTATGTCCGGGTGCTGAATCATGACTAATTCTTGCCATGTTGAAGAATAAACAATAATTATTTATTGTTATGTTCTCTGTTATTTCCACCAGAATTTTCTACCAGTGGTCCATCAGGAGCAAATCTGGAAAATGAGTGGGATGGAATGTCAAATCTGATCGCAATTACAAACTTTGGCTGCGATAGTATGGTAGAGGTGGAAGTCTAATACAGACATCTTTGGACAGACAGGATAATGGTATCTTTGTGATTTCCTTTCTAGGGCACTAGAAAGCATTGGCAGGTCAGACACTGCTGAAGTTTCATCTGAGCCTTTCCTCAATGACCTAGCAACGCAAGGGCAAGTGGATATATGTGGTGGATGAATTCCTAAGCTCCAGCAGAGATGAGTTCCTTGAAATACTGGCCAAGTTCAAGGCAACAGAATTACAGGTTCTAGATTAGAAGCAACTAGAGCAAGAGCAGGGAAATAAATTCTGGGAGAGGAAGGAAACAGAGTCAAAATGGGACTGGTTCAGCTTGAGGAAGTTGTGCTCTGTCACGCTTGCCAGGGCAAGTCAAATGGCAGTAAAAACATCATTCCAGCAGGGATGCCTGCATCAATATGGGTACCTGTGCATTTCCTCTCCCTACAATTTGCTACCCTCTCCACACCTGGGTAAAGATACTTGGAAAATGGTGAAACTTCGTTTACAGCATCTCCTGTTCTCACAACAAGAGCAGGAGGGCATGAGGCTAATTGCCATACATATCTCATTCTGTAGCCCTTACATTAAGCTGTCCATAATCCTCCATATTTTTCTTTTAGCTTACAGAGATGCTTTTACAAAGTCCAAACAGTCCATACATGAGCTCAGATCTAATTCATCTCTGATTAGGCCCCAAATCATCTCTTATGGAACTTGACCCAGCTGTACTTTTAGCTTCTTTGTCTATTCTGACTTACTCTAATATTAATATTTATAAGATAAAATACAGGGCCAGCCATGCTAACACACCTTATAATACCCATCTTGGAGTTTTTGTAAGAAAGAAAACAAGCCTCCAAACAAATTGAAGAAATAGAACAGCATAGACCATATGCCTCTCACAACGGGCAACATGAAATCTGGGTAGGTGGTACAGAACACTAGAATACTATCCTCAGATGATTTAAAATAACAAATATCTAGTGTGACCAATAAAATTTAAGCGTCAGGGATCATTCTAAGCCTAGGGGCCTGAAGGACTAGCACAATTCAGTAACACCAGCCAGCTGTTGCTGGCTTGACATCCCTAATTGGAACAAACAGTATACCTGTATAGCCAGGTTGACTGGAGGAAGCCTTTATCATGAGTCTGGATTAGATGCCGAATTTATATCTTTGGAGCTTTAGCAAGAATCTGCCATTAGGTTACTCAATTTAAATAGTGTAAGATATGGACAGTTAGCCATATTATAAAATCATACAAAACAGTTGACAGCTAGCTTCAAGTAACATCCTTCAAAATATGGCTATAAAGAACTGAGTAATCTACTGCAACCAGTTTCCCTTTGGAGACTCTTCCTTTAACTTCCCAAAGGACCCAAATTTACAAAACAAACAAACAAATACATCCCAGTTTACTACTCTGATTGCACTTTACCTCTCTCCACTGACATTTTTTATGCCATTTTGGGATGAAAAATAATTTCTAATTTGTTGTCCTTCATTAGCTTGCTGTTCTTTTTAGAAATATGGTTCAGCATTAGGCAACAATGATTAGTGAAGAGGTTGAAAATGTTGAGATCACTTACTTATTTTAATTTACAATGGGCGTGGCTAAGAGAAAATTAATCCCTGACAATTTTATATAACAAATACAAAAAAGATACATTCTATCCACCTTCGCTCAACACCCTAACACCTGGTCCTCATGGTGAGTAGTCAGACCTACATGTTTTTGGGCATACTATAGAGAGGAAATAGAAAAATGATTGGAAAATATTGTTTTATGCAGTGAAGCTCATGGTCACAGGATATCACCAAAGCAAAGACATTAACAGAACACCACAGGACAGAAGCAGGGCCAAAAATTCATTCAATTTAGGTGCACAAAGAAAAATCAGATTCCACCCTAAATGTCTTATCAGAATTTCTCTTTTAATTTTAACATACTAACATAGATGTACAACTTTTAAAATTCAGTGCCATGTTTGGCTCAAAACCCCATGACTTTAGAGAAGAAAACTGACTATGACTTTTGGCACAGCATATTTAACCCATAAACCCAAGTCCCAATGTTTTAATTCCAAATGTTCCATAGCAATGTGAGAATTGAATGAATAATCCAAAAGGGATACAGCAGAGTAGCATTCAAATTAAAAATAGGCCAGAGAAAAATTCCTATTAAAAATATGCTGGGACCTCCAGCATCTCCTGAAAAGCATTTTTCTTCTACCTACCAAGAATGTTAACTTGGATTTTGACTTCTTAATATTGGAAGGAACAGCTTTATGCATTAAAATTTAATCTAATGGCACAGCTTCATAGGGAGACTCAAAAGCTGCCAACTGCTTTGTTTTGTTTCCTTTTAATTTCATTTTGCTCTCTACCATTAAATTTGGAAAAGGGGAAACTTGTTACATATAATGGTGCAGTCAACTCTGCCAGAAGGTGACCTCGTGCTACATTATTCCCTAAATACTCATTTACAATGTTAAGTTTTCTGCCAGCATAAGTAAATGTATTCTAATTTATTTGTACTTGACGGAATGTTTCATGTTGATAGACAGCTAGTTGAAAAGTCTAAAACTGTTCTGAAGCAAAACCTTTGAACTTTCCATTTTTTAATTGCTGAGGGAGTTAAGAATCAAATATATATATTTTTAAAGTAAGTTTGCCTTTTAGTTCAACAAGCTGACAGGATATAAAACTCATCTGTCATGGAAATATACATTTCTAGATCACATCAGAGACTTCAGAAAAAAATTGAAAAGGTTTCTAAGATTATAGAATTTGCAACGGCCGCATGCAGACAGAAGGAATACAACTTTGTGTTTTTGCCTGGCAGTCGGGGAGAATGGAAAACTTTAAGCAAAACTGTCTAAATGTCAAGCTTTCAGGCTCTGACCTCTTACATCACACAATGAAAAGGTTCAACCCCTGTTAAAGAGAACCTTAAGTCTTTCTGTCTTTCTAAATGGCCGTCGAAAGGAGTGTTTGCTAAGAGATCTGAGACCTTCTCCCTATTTTGTGAGCCATTTTCCTTCTGTTGCTTTGGTTTTCCTCCCCCCCCAGAATCTCACTCTTTTCCTACTGCAGCCCCCACACTTTTCCTTACTTTTTCCTACCTTTTTTCACCTTTTTAAAGCCTTTCTCCTGCAACAACCCTCTCCCCTCCTCTCCCCCTCCCTCTGGGTTTATTTTGTTTTCCCCCCACCCTCACTGCAGCTGCTCTGCTGCTTATTCTTTTCCCTTCTCCTCCCAAGCATATTGCTCGTCTTTCTCACCTCCTCTGCTGTTTGGTTGTTTGTTTTCCCGCTGCTTTGTTCCCTGCCAGCAGAGGGCTGCCCATCCCCCACCTCTCTGGTTTCTTGCAGAGTTAACCCTTTTTTTGCTGGACTGGCTGCAGGCAGCTCCCAGCACTTTACTGCTAGGGCTTCTGCCTCTCTGGACCAGAGTTTTGGTCTCCAGTTTCATGCCCCTCCCTCCATTGGAGTGGAGGAGTGTGCTGCTGCTGAGGGTGCTGGTAGGCTGCAAAAATGTCCTTTATGCTGACTAGGTAAGTTTGATCCCTATCATTTTCTTCAGCTCCTCTGCTTTGGTGCTTGAGGATGTGGTAGCGGATATGTCTGTTGGGGGTGTTTTTTGCCTCACGATGCCCTTAGACACAACGGTGGTAGCCTCTAGTGTTCCCCCATTTCTCATGACCAACAAGCTCACCAAGTGCCTGAGCCCTTATGGCATGGTGAGAGGTCCTGTCCATAGACTGCTGCTTGGTGGCAAGATCCCTGAGCCTTTAAATGGCAGATGTTCATGCTTCTTGACAGGAAGAGTCAGGGTTTGCCCCACTCTATGTATTTTCCTGATTGACAGGCAGTGGTATGAGGTTTACCTCACCTTTGGGGATACCTCGTGCTTTTGCTGTGGTAGCAGGTTCCATCTGACTACCCAGTGCCCGAAAAGGAATCCAGCCACAGTAGAGCTGCCTGCGGCTATGCCTGATAGTGCCCAATGGTGGCTCATCTGCTTCTGGTGCAACGGCCCCATCCAGTTTTGCAAATGGTTCTCAGAAGCTGAGATGTTCGTGCTTTCTGCCAAAGCTGCAGCAGCGGTGCTGTACTCCACTCCAGAGATGCAGTGTTATAGTTCTCGCCTGAGCAAGCTTGCGGGCTATGTTGGGTGCTTGCTGTGTGATGCACAGGCTGGCAGGTTCTAGGCCCTTTTATTTCCTCTCCTGTGCACGCACTCATCTCTGGTGTTCTTGTCTGCTCTTTTAGCTTGCCTGTCCCCCTTTCTACACCCCTCATACATGCCTGTATGGGCTTTGGCTTTGGCTCTCTCAATGCCACCAGCTGCTGAGCCCCTGTGATGCAGATGGCTTTCTTCAATTTCCTGAGACAGAGCCAACTAGATGTTACCTTTCTGCATAAAATGCATCCTGCTGCAGCAGCTGATCAAGTCAACTGACATGCAGCCTGGCAGTCTGTTCCTGGGTCATAGCAATTCCCTCAGCACAGGAGTCATGATCCTCTTGTCACCGCATCTGACACCTAAGTCAGTGGTTGCCCAAGAGGTTATCCCTGACTGCCTGCTGACTGTATTTTGCTGGCACTATATTGCCTCCTCCTCATTACCATCTCTGCGCCTGATGTTGGGTGGGAACGGCTCACCCTCTTTTCTACCCTCCTCCTTGGTGGCAACCTTAATTCACACAATCAATGAGCAACTTGACCAAAATGGGCTGGAACCCCATCTGTCCTTGACCCAGCAGCTGCAGACTGCTTTGGACGAAGTGGACTTTGTTGCCATCTGGCCATTTCCAAGCTGACATGAGGCAGTACACCTGGCTGATGGTGACTGCTGGTGCAATTGCCATGGCATGCCATGGCCACTTTTGCATTGCCAAGTTTTACCTGCCAGCCCTTTGGGTGGCTGCCTAATCCCACCTAGACTCTTGGATTACAGTCCATGGATAGTGACCTGGGCAGTGGGCCCAGTACTTCCTTGACTGTTCCTGAGCCTCCTGACAGCGATGCCGGGGCTTTGTCTTGGCGCACTCACCTGGGGGGCCCTGTACAAATGGGAAGTTCATGTCCACCACACCCTCATCCTTGCCACTTGTCCTGAATGAGGTGGTGGCAGCATATAGCAGCACCACCCCTTGGCACCTTGCTTGTGGCACTAGACTTGGGCCTCTCGGATATTGATTATTATTTGTGTTCTTTTTGATGCCAGGCAGCTGAGGCAGATGCATCTGCCTGGTCAACTTTGTGTTTGGTTAGGCCAAAATGGCCACTCTTCAGAGATGAAGAAGTCAGTTCACTGGGGCTGGTACTGATTCTGCCCTGTGACTCTTCTGTTTTTTGGTCCAGACATGCCTCTCACTGCAATTCTCACATGCGGTTTTCCAGAGGACAATAACCACCTTCTAGGCATGTTGGGGCATTTAGGGGGCACTCTGAGGTATCGAGGGTGCCTGTTTGGCCCTCCTGCTGTGACACTGCCCCACCACACACTCCTCCTGGGATACCGCCATGGGCCCTAGTGGATTTCTGTGCTACTGGATGTTTTTGTTTTTTTGTTTTTGCCTGTGAGGGCAGGCCTTGCAGGCTAGCCTCAGGCTCTGTCCTCTGCACCTGGGCCCCTGTGTGGGCTGTCCTTTGGTGTTTTACTATATTGTTCCCACATTTCCCCTAATAAATGTCTATAAAAAGTCAAAAGTCTTCCTTCCTTCCTTCCTTCTGCTTCCCCCGAGGGACAGGTAATTACGGACCCAGGCAAAATAAATGAGCACATTATCGCCTTCTATTGTGACCTGTTTGTGGCTGAGCCGTCCTGGTCCAAGGCCATGTGGGAACTCCACAAGGGCCTGCCACATCTCTGTGCCCTGGAGGCCAGCGAGATTGAGTGGGAATTGTCTCTGGAGGAGCTGGCAGCCACCACGGCTGGCCTCACCTCTGGCAAAGCCCCAGGCCTTGATGGGTTACTTGCCCCTTCTGGCCTATCCTCAGCCCCTGTCTCCTGTGCATTTTCCAGGAGAGCCTTGCTGACAAAGTCCTGCTGATCAGCTGCCACCGAGCAGTGCTCACACTGCTGCCCAAGAAGGGAGACCTTGGCTACATTAAGAACTGGTGGCCAGTCTCCCTACTCTGTGCAGACTACAAGATTCTGGCTAAAGCACTGGCGACCCACCTCCACACCATCATGGCCGCTGTTACTGGGCCTGAGCAGAGCTATTGTGTGCTGGCAGGCCAACTTTTTGTACCCCAAACCCCTGAATAAAGTAGCTAAAAAGTCAAAAGTCCTTTCTTCTGCTTTGGATGCCTTTGACCAGGGGAGATGCCTTGTTGGACCTGGTCCTGGCCACAGGCAATGACCTGGTGAGGGGACTATGGGTGCTCGACCACCTGGGCAACAGCGATCATCGCCTGCTGGAATTCACCATCCAGCGCAAGGTGTCAAAGGACTGCAGCAAGGCAGCAGCCCTGGACTTCAGGAGGGCAGACTTCAATGAGGTAAGGAGAATAGTCAGGGAGGAACTGAGATCCCAGAGAGGAGAGGAGTCAGGTGTCCAAGAAAAGTGGTCGTTCCTTAAGGAGATGATCCTCCCAGCCCAAAAGGAGGTAATCCCAATACAGATCAAAGTGGGCAAGAGGGCGCAAAAGCCCCCATGTCTCACCAAAAGTATACGGGAACATCTACTAGCTGAAAAGGAGGCGTACACCCAATGGAAGGGAGGGGCCATCACCAGGGAGTACTATACCTCGGTTGCTCGGGGCTCTAGGGGGGGTGGTCAGGAAGGCCAAGGCGGAGATGGAACTGAGACTAGCTACCCGTATCAAGGACAACAAGAAGTCCTTTTTTAAATACATAGCGGGTAAAAAGAAGGTACTGGGTAATGTGGGGCCTCTGCAAGGCATGCTAGGAAATCTGTTCATCACTCCAGACAGCAAAGCTAACCTATTTAACAATTTCTTTGCCTCCATTTTTCTGAGCAGGGACCGGGTCACCCCCCCACCCCCACTGGGACCACCGTAGGCTCCAGGGAAGGCGCGCCCAGACCTAGGGCCAGTGAGGATCTAGTCAGGTAACTTCTGGAGGGATTGGACATATTTAAATCAGCTGGTCCTGACGATCTCCACCCCAGAGTACTGAGGGAATTAGCAGAGGTCATTGTGGGACCCCTGGCATGGCTTTACAAGCACTCATGGTGCTCTCGTGTGGTGCCAGAGGACTGGAAAAGGGCCAATGTGGTTCCCATGTTCAAAAAAGGGAGGAAGGATGACCCAGGAAATGGGAGGGGCCAGCAGGGGAGATTATGCTTAGGGGCAACCAACATGGGTTCATTAGAGGCAGTTCCTGTCAGACCAACCTGGTGGCTTTCTATAACCAGGTCACAAAATCCTTAGATGCAGGTGTAGCAGTAGACGTAGTATTTCTGGACTTTAGGAAGGCCTTTGACACTGTCTCTCACCCCATTCTCATTAAAAAACTAGGGGACTGTGGTGTTGACACCTACACAGTCAATTGGGTCACTAACTGGCTGGAGGGTCACACCCAGAGAGTGGTGGTGGACGGGTCTTATTTGAACTGGAGGGACGTGGGCAGTGGGGTTCTGCAGGACTTGGTCCTCAGGCCTGCACTGTTCAACATCTTCATCAGCAACTTGGATGAGGGGGTGAAAAGCACCCTGTTCAAAGTCACAGATGACACTAAGATGTGGGGGGAAGTGGGCATGGTAGAAGGGAGGAATAGGCTACAATCAGACCTAGACAGGTTACAGGGGTGGGCGGATGAGAACAGGATGGGTTTCAACACTGACAAGTGCAAGGTACTGCACCTGCGGCAGAAGAACCAGCAGGATACCTACAGGCTGGGGAACTCCCTTCTTATCAGCACAGAGGCAGTAAAGGATCTTGGAGTCATTATTAATGCCAAAATGAACATGGGCTTACAGTGTGGGGACCTGGTCAGGAAGGCCAACTGTACCTTGTCATGCATCCACAGATGCATCTCAAGCAAGTCCAAGGAGGTGATCCTCCCCCTCTATGTGACACTGGTCAGGCTGCAGTTGGAGTACTGCATCCAGTTCTGGGTGCCGCACTTCAGAAGGGATGTGGACAACTTGGAGCGGGTCCAGAGAAGGGCCACTCACATGATCAGGGGGCAGCAGGGCAGGCCCTCCGAGGAGAGGCTAAGGGACCTGACACAAGAGAAGGCTGAGGGGGATCTAGTGGCCTGTTACAAACTAGTCAGAGGGGACCAGCAGGCATTGGGGGAGTCCCTGTTCCCCCGAGCACTACCAGGTGGGACTTGAAATAACGGTCACTAGC